GTGTGTGTGTGTGTGTGTGTGTGTGTGTGTGTGTGTGTGTGTGTGTGTGTGTGTGTGTGTGTGTGTGTGTGTGTGTGTGTGTGTGTTTGTGTGTGAAAGAGTGATTATATGAACATCGTTTTGTGCCTGATGAAGGTCAGTTGAACTGAAACTTTGCGATTCAGTAAAGCAGTATTCACAGCTGAGAGACACACTCTTTCCGGCTTGTCCTGAGTCTGCCCCCATGTCTCCTCCCAGTTCGACATGCCTGAAACACCTCGCCTCGGAGCCCCGAACCACCTCAGCTGGCTCCTTTTGATGCAGAAGAATAGCAGCTCTACTATGAGCTCCTCGTTCTTTCTCCAAGGCTGAGCCCACACACCATTCAGAGGAAGCTCATTTCCTCTAAATTCTTTCGGTCTCTACCCACAGCTCGTGACCATGGGTGAGGGTAGGCATGTAGATCAATGGTTAAATTGACTTTGCCTTTGCATTTGGCTCGCTCTTTACATCAACAAACCAGCACAGTCTGCATCACTGCAGATGCTACGTGATGACCTCGAGAGACACTGGAACTTGTGCTGAACCCAAAAGAGCAATCCAGCTTTTTCCTCCAAGTCCGAATCCACCTAATTAACCCTGGGAGGCCCAGCCAGAACAGGCCGAATGGGTCGATGCTACTGTGAGGCCACAGCGTGGAAGTCAAAAGTTGAGACTTTGGTGGTCCTATACAGGGTACTCAAGTTGACTCATCTCATGCAATAGCAGTTGAGATATTTCAGTGTGAAGAAAAGCGGTGGGTTAAATGACCAGCAAATCGACAGCATGCCCCGCAGAGCTGGTGCGCCGGCGTGCCTAAAATTGCTGTTGAAAAGTACAAAATTGCCTCATTCAAGAGACCAAATGAAAACTCTCATAAGCATTGTGCTGACATTTAAAACTAACGAGGCACAAATGCACTCTGGAGAAAACGGCATACATTGTTCAGACCCTGCAGACAACTCAGGCTTTGAGGCAAAACTCTGCACTAAAAAAAGAAAGAAAACCCGCCGACTGTCGTACACCACTGATTTAAAATGGCAGGTGGACTTATACAATCTCAAAAAAGAAAGAAAACAGATTCCTTTCATATTCTGTCTGCCTTGTGTTTAGTGAGCACACCCTACCATGTTGGCAAAATAAGAGGATCCTTATAGAGGTGCGTACTCAGTATGTAAGAGGCTTTGTGATAGTCAGTGTCAGACTGGAGGGCAGGAAGGCAGGTGATGGGACATTAAAGCACTCCTAAGACCTCACAGTGGTCAGTTATGGGAGCAGCGAGAGCTCCAAACAAGCAGCCCCCGGTGCCTGAAAATCTACTCTCTGCATTGACAAAAGCAGACGATTATGTAAGGCAACCTAAAATATTAGTATGTGGTAACTCTAGTTGCCACGGCAGCAAAGCGCACACACTGTCAGACTTGGCTCTGAAGCACACACACACAAACTGCTGACATACCCCGAGGGCGGGTTTTGTGCCTTTATTCCTGTTGTCTTTGTGTTGCGCATGCACAAGCAGAAGACATGACACTGTAATTGTGTCCTGTGGCCTGTAGCCGTGCGGCCAAGTCAGCAATCATTAGCCCGAGCAGTGAAAAACAGTCCTACGGTATGAAACAGCAACGATTATCATCATTCATGTTATTGAATCGATCTTAATGAAACTATTCTTTGTGCTACTCCTGAGTACAGATGGCAAACGCCCTCAGAACATCACACATCCAATCAGAGGGGAAGAAATACAGCCAGAACAAAGTTGTGTTGTAAATAAACTGATTTAATTGACACAGAATAAAGAAAAAAGTGCCACTAGTAACCACAGCCTTTGTGAAGGGGGGCATTCTAACACCGGCAGGGGGTAACTCCCGTGGTTGCAAAAAGAAGCCTGGATGTATAGCAGTCTACGAGTTAACTACCTTTGATCTGTGACCTCACTAAAAAATTTCCTGGAGCCAGATTCACTAAGGCGGATTTCCATAGACTTCCATGATGTTTTTACCTGATCTCCTCTGTTTTTTAGGGAAATTTAGTGCTCATTGAATGGAAACTAGGGAGAGAGCAAGAGGGAATAACATGACAATGAAATGGTCTGGGGCAGAGTCGAACTGATATTTTAAGACCAAAACGGCACCTTCCTGTTCACTAATCTCTTGGGTACGGTCGGAAGAAGCTGCCTTGAGATGAGCGTGCAAGAATAGACTAGTCCAGCACTTGTAAAGTTGAGTTTCTACCAAAATAATAATAATAATTTCACACACACCGCTGGTCTCCTGCTGGTTAGAGGAACTTTGTTTTTTTTTTTTAAAAAAGTTGTGATTGCTTTGGTTGCCATATTCACCTGTAGTTTGCATAGAAGAGGCCGACTTGTCCGCAAACACCAGCTACTCGCTGAGAGGTAGTAAAACTTTGTCAAGTGCAACACAAACGTTCGCCTTCAAAGCAAAAGTTGTGCGTCATCAGTGTGGCCAAAAGGAGAAAAATGGTCTCTGTTTTCAGTCTCACTTTTGACAGTTTCACTAATCCCCGCTGAGCAAAAATTATATCATCTGTGAAAACTACTGACAACCAAAGCAATCACATGGAGGTTTTTGGGGCCATTCATCTCTTTGCAACCAATTTCACAGCAACTGTTATCAACCTTCGACAACCACTTGCCAACCAGTTGGAGAGTATACATTTTTCCGTAGCAACTTATTGTTACTGGGGTGGTGTCACCGACTGTGATTGGATATTTAGTAACCAGTTTCACAGTAACTTCAATCAAACTCCAGCAACAACTCACCAACCAGGTAATGGCCATGGTTGCCAACTGGTTTCTAGGTCGGTGTGACTGGGGCCTTATGGGGTAAACAGCAGAAAAAAACATTTAAAATTTCTAACAGTGGATTTGAAAAGTTAATGACTCAGATTTATTTACCCAGGATTTACTGATGTGACAAAAAGGCTGCCAGCAACCATTGGACAACTTCCAACCAAGTTTCTTATCATCTTTGGATGTTTTGGTCAATCAATTTGACTAGTCGATGTCCAAACCTAACACTGGTCTAACTCTACTGAAAACACTAAAGCTGCAGACACACTGGAAGAGTTTAGCAGCAACATGGCGACCAGAGTCAACGGACAGCGAATGAGATTTTGCAACTTCAATTTATGGATTTTTCCAACTTTCAGATGAGTGTCTAAAGTGACTACCAATCAGAGTGGAAAATTCAGTTTATTGACATATGACCTGTAAATACATTAGTGGGTTACCTAGGCAACCTGAAATCTCCACGAGTGACAAGCCATTAGCTTCAAAGCGACGAGCGACAAGTAAATCAATTGCAGCTTCAGAATCTTTATAAAACCAGCCCCTGATGAGCTTCTAGGCTTAGGCTTTAGATTCAAGTCTTATTAAATACAACATGCTGTTCATTTTCTATATCATGGCCCCCGTAAATTAAAAAACTATGGCAATACAGGATATAATAATAATAATGTATACTTTAATGATCCCCGTGGGGAAATTCCTCTCTGCATTTGACCCATTCACTCAGTGAAGCA